TACAGGAAGTGATCAAGATGGTATTGAACAATTGAAGAAGCATTTATTCAGACACTTTCAGACCAAAGATTTAGGACTTCTTAAATACTTCCTTGGTATAGAAGTTTCTCAATCTAAATCTGGTACGGTTATCTCTCAGAGAAAGTATGCACTAGATATTCTTGAAGAGACATGAATGTTAGATTGCATACCAATAGACTCTCCTATGGATGCTAATTTAAAACTCTCACCTAGACAGGGGGAGCCGCTGGCTAATCCTGGAAGATGTCGAAGACTAGTTGGTAAACTTAATTATCTCACTATCACACAACCTGATATTTCCTTTTCTGTTAGTGTTGTAAGTCAATTCCTACAATTTCCATGTGATAGTCATTGGGATGCAGTTGTTCAGATTTTGAGGTATATAAAGGATGCACCAGGCAAAGGCTTGTTATATGAGAACAGGGGTAATTCACATATTGTTTGATATTCTAATGCTGATTGGGCAGGGTCTCCATCTAATAGACGTTCTACTTTGGGTTTTTGTGTTCATATTGGAGGAAACTCAATGTCTTGGAAAAGTAAGAAGAAAGCTGTTGTTGCCCGATCAAGCGCAGAAGCTGAATATTGTACAATAGCCTTAGCTACTTGTGAGCTTATTTGGTTAAAGCAACTGAATAAAGAGCTGAAATTTGTAAAAGTGTCACAAATGAAGTTACTCTGTGATAATCAAGCTGCTCTTCATATTGTCTCTAATCCAATATTTCATGAGAGGACTAAGCACATATAAATTGATTGTCATTTTATTCGGGAAAAAGTTCTATCTGGATGTATTACCACTATTCATGTCAATTCCAACGACCAGTTAGTAGACATCCTCACTAAATCTCTTAGGGGTCCACGCATTGATTTTATCTGTAGCAAGCTTGGTGCATATGACTTATATACTCCAACTTGATGGGGAGTGTTGAAGTGTATGATTCTATATTAGGATATTAGGATTGTAATCAATATATATTAAGAATAAAATTTGTAAAATAGGAAGTTAGATTATTCATTTCTTAGATTAGATTATTTGTTTCGTAGATTAATTCTTTATTTTCCTACATATTGACGTATTATTTTTTATCAATATACAAGTAATAAAACACAATATTAGTTCTCTCTGATTTTCACAATGCCACAAACTTGTTCCCAAGAAAAAAATATCCGACAGCTAATATGTATTTCCCAAAAGTTTGTGAAATTAGAACTGCATTGTCTAGCTGGTTTAGATCTGAGAATGATTTGATAAGGAATATGGCAACAAAAATGAATGAAAAATTTAGCAAGTATATTGGAATCTGATTCACAATGTCTTGGGGGTAGCGAGTGTTTTAGACCCTAGGTACAAAATGAAATCGTTAGATTATATTTTTCTTCTGATCTATGGAGTTGATGGTAAAGATCATATTATGAGAATTCAAAGATTTTGTGCAGATTTATTTAGTCAATACCAATCTAAGCAAGGAATTAGTAAACCTGCTTCTTCCAATGCATCTTCTTTTCTGACTGATATTCCTTATGGTGAGGAGGAGGGGTCCGTTAGTAACTTTGATATGTATATTGAACAAGAATCAAATGTTACTAAAAGAAAGTCAGAACTGGAATGTTACTTAGAGGAGAAACTTTTGCCTAAGACTTCTAACTTTGACATATTGGTTTAGTGGAAGGCAAATAGGCCTAAATATCCAATCCTCCAAAATGTTGCTCAAGATATCCTTGCTATTCCTATTTCCACATTCACTTCTTGAATCTATATTTAGCACAGATGGAAAGGTAGTAAACCCACATCGCAATAGACTTCATTCTAATACATTAAAGGTATTAATGTGTGCTCAGAATTGGTTATGGACGGATATAAAAGGTGATTATATCAAAATTTTATTTCTTTAACATATTAGAATGTTTTTAATGTATATTTTGTATTCTTATTAGGTCAACAATCATACTCCACATTTTCTTGAGGAAGAACAGAAATTATGATGATAAAAAATAAGTATGTAATTGGTTAAATATTAATTTGGTCTTTGATGTGTTGTATGTTTTTTTATGTATTTTATAATCGTAGAGAGTTGGACTTATCCAATTAGAGCTTGCAAAACTTAAAAAGACAACAGCTTAGATATTTTATAATTGCATGCTTCTTATGTATTGCTTCTTATGTAGTCTCAATTTGATTGTTGCTCTCCTGGTTATGTTATACTTTGAAAATTACATAAATGAATGAATGCACTTCTAAGTGGAAATTATATAAAAAGAAATAAGGGTGGAATGTTATCCATATATTTAGTGTGTATTTAAAAATAAATTAATATTTACAAATTGTTTATAAATTAAAAACATAAAACAGAAATAAAATTATAATTATTAAAATTTAAATTTAAATTTAAAAACTGTTTCTTAAATTAAATTTATAAAAATGGGTTGGGAGTGGGCCAGGACTCGGGCTTGAGCTTTACCCATCATGCCTATATCAGGCCCGGACTGAGCACGGGCCTGTGCCATGTGGGTCGAGCCAGGCCTGGGCAAATAGCCCCCCGGACTGGCCCATTGCAATCTCTATTGTCAGTCATTTTTTTTTTTTCAGTTTTGTATCTCCCCAGACCCAGTCACCCAAAAACACTGCTCAATCATCACTACAACTCCGCCCATCACCAGCCCCTTACCATTAAGACCCCACCAACCCACGCAAAACATCTCCACACCAAATTAATTCTCATTCCAAAAATCACACCACAAAATCATTCCAAATCCTCATTAACAGCACTAATAAAGGAGAGAGAAAGAGATAAGTTAAAAAAAAAAAAAAATTAGAGAGAGAGGGTGGTTACCTCGGTTAATTTTGCTTAGGAATTGGTGGAGGTAAACAAAAGCGGTAATCGGTGGGGAGAAAAGAAAAGTGGCAATGGGTATGGAAAGGGGAATGGAAGGGGGGTAGTAGAGACAAGGGCCTTGTGTTAGCACTTAGCACTAGATCTGAGAAAAAATGGTGGGAGCAGCAAGTGAGGAAGAAGAAGATAGTGAAGGAGAAGAAGGATGGGGAGAAAAGGGGAAAAATGCTTATTGAAGAGCCGAAGCTGAAAAAAATAGATCGAACTTCGAAGAATGAAGAAAAAGAACGCACGAAAAATGGCAGAACATGACCAGATGAATGGAGGAAAGAGACTGAAGAGTTCAATTAGTGAATTAGGTTTGATTTGGAATGACTGAATTAGGGGTTTTATTTGGACCGGTTGTTGGTCCAGGCCAGTTGGACCGACGGCCTAATACTGTTTTTGCGGTCCAAGCGGTTCAAAGGCTAATAACAGTATTAAATAAGGCCGAACGACTTACGCATACCCAAGGTTTATCGAAACGATAAGTTGGTATCCAAAAGGTTTTGAAACGACAAATAGGTATCTTTCGTCATGTTCTGTTAATGATTTTCGTTTGATAATAGTGAAAAGACTAAAATGCCCTTAAAAGTTTAATATTTTCGTTTTTTATAAATTCAAAAATTTCTAAAAAACCTCCTAGGTTTGCTAATTTGACTAAATACCTCAATATATAAAAATTTAATAAAATAACAAAAACACCCCTGCCATCCGCAGTACCAGATTCCGGCCACCACCGCCGGAATCTGGTAGGAAAATTGTGTTACGACACAGACCCATCGGATCTGTGTCGTAACGCGTAAATCTGGAATTTTCCGGCAAGATCCGTGGCTGATCTGGCCGTCGAGGCCGAAACTTGTCGGAAAATTGTGTTACGACATAGACCCTTCGAATCTATGTCGTAACACGTCGATCTGGTATTTTCCTGCCAGATCTGGCCGTCGAGGCTGAAAAAGGCCAGATCAATGCGTTACGACACAAATCCGACGGGTCTGTGTCGTAACACAATTTTCCGGCCAAATTCCGACTGTGATGGCCAGAATCTGGCACTGCAGGTGGCGGGGTGTTTTTGTTATTTTATAAAATTTTATATATTGGGGTATTTAGTCAAATTAGCAAACCTAGGGGGTTTTTTAGAAATTTTTAAATTTATAAAAAACTAAAATATTAAACTTTCAAGGGCATTTTAGTCTTTTCACTATTATCAAACAAAAATTACTAACAGAACATGACGGAAGGTACCTATTTATCGTTTCAAAACCTTTTAGGTATCAACTTGTCGTTTCGATAAATCTTGGGTATGTGTAAGTTGTTCCCCCTTTAAATAATACATTAAACTGGTGGATTGTTCGAAACCTTGTCTAGCCTATCCATCCGGTTCAGTTTCAGAACATTTTAACACTATTTGACCCTTAATTTACTACAAATAGTTACTTTATTTTGTGATGGTTGAGATTTCGTCTAAATATTTTAAAGAGAAATTATAGAAAATGACCCAAACTAAAACTGAATTTTAGTGTATCATTAAATAGACATAACTTAAAATTAAAGATGGAAAATAAAAAAAAATATAACAAGTAAGAACTAAGAACATGAATTTATGAAGAATAGCTTTAGAAAACTACGGGTGAATATAATTCTATTATAAACAATAACATTATATTTTGTAGTATTAAATAATTACAACTATTTAACAAGTGATAGTGAAATGTAAAAATATTCATTTTTAAAATACTATAATATAATTTTTTGAGTGATTTTTCACATTTTATTTGTTTTGTTTAATTTTTTTCAGGTCTACCAAACCAAGCCAAACCAATCCAAAGCGAGAGGGGCTACAAGCTCCTCCACTGAGGATTTCAAGATCCGCCATTTTTACTCTCTCCGTAACGCATCATATTTTAACTATTTTCCTCTAAATTTTCTGTTTGTATTTCTCAACATTAATGCGTGATGGGTTCCTTCTTATTACCCTTTTCCTTCTACTGTTTTGGTTAAGTATGAGAATTTTTGGATCTGGGTATTAATCTTTTTGTGAGTTTTAGTTGATCTTATATCAGTATCTGTGTACTTACAGAATTGCCAGTTGCTTTTTTGTTTTTTTTTTTTTTCTCTTTTTAGGGTTTTTAGATTATGGAATTATGCATCTGGGTTGATTTATAAATTTGGTTAGAGTTTGTTTAGGTTGATTTTAGTTTCCTCTTTAAGATTTTAGAGATTATAGTTATGCTAATCACTTCAGTGGGTAATTGAAATATATAGTGTTATTGGGTAATTTATGAGCTTTGTGGGTTGTGGATTGTTGAAGATAGAGTTTTGTAATGTCATGGATTTGTTAGTTGTGTAAATTTGATGTTTTTTGTTTTTGGTGGAGAGCAGAGTTGGAGTGGATAGGTGGTGGTGTTGATTTTAGCAATTTCTTAAGTATTCTTAAGAATTTGTTTTGTTTGAAGTGTTATCGCAATGCCTTCTACCGATCATCAGGGTTCTTCGTTGCCCTTTCATTCATTTGGTCGTTCATTTTGGAGTGGCAGGCGTGAACAGGTTCATTCAATAGAAGGGAATAATGAGCCTAATGCCCATGATTTGGGGCTCGAATCCTTCTACAAACAGGTTACAGACCGTTTTCATGAACTTTCAGTTGTTGGTGCTGATGAAATGCTTTCTATTGAATGGATGAAAAAGCTATTAGATGCATTTGTTTGCTGCCAGGAGGAATTCAGGGCTATTTTGTTGAAAAACAAAGCTTTGTTGTCGAAAGCGCCTTTGGATCGAGTAGTTGCTGACTTCTTTGAAAGGAGTTTGAAGGCACTTGACATATTTAATGCAACTCGTGATGGGATTGAGAAGATCCGTTTGTGGCAAAAGCATTTAGAGATTGTACTGTGTGCCCTTGGTTCTAGTCAGAGGGTGATTGGTGGAGGCCAGATTCGCAGAGCTAGAAAAGCTCTGATGGATTTGGCACTTGCAATGCTAGATGAAAAGGATTCAGGGTCAGTTTTTTCGCACAGAAACCGGTCGTTTGGGCGTCATAATACCAGTAAGGATAATCATCATCGCCCACCTGGCCACTCTCGTTCTCTCTCATGGAGTGTTTCACGATCTTGGTCTGCTGCTAAGCAACTCCAATCAATTGCTAACAATTTGTTGCCACCTCGAGCAAATGATATTGCAGCTACAAATGGGCTTATTGTCCCCTTTTTTGCAATGAGTTCTATACTCATGTTTGTATTGTGGACTTTGGTTTCTGCAATCCCTTGTCAGGATAGAGGCATGAATGTTAATTTTTCAATCCCACGGCAATTCTCATGGGGTGCTCCGCTTCTCGTACTTCATGAGCGTATAATGGAGGAATCAAAGAAGCGAGAGCGAAGGAATTCTAATGGGTTGTTAAAGGAAATCCATCAGATTGACCAATATGCTCGTCAAATTACAGATTTGGTGGATTCGCCTCAGTTTCCACTTCCAGAGGAGCAGAAAATTGAGGTTGAACAGGGGATTACGGAGTTAGCATCGGTTTTTGAAGCTATTAAGAGTGGATTGGATCCGCTGGAACGCCAATTGAGGGAAGTATTCCGTAAGATCATGAATATGCGATCAGAGGGTCTTGATCTCCTAGGGAGGGGAAGTGAGTAAATTTGAGATGGTAATCTGCTAGTGAGCATCAAATGTACAAATTCGCGAAAATGTTATTATAGACTATGCAAGCCATTTGCGAGGAGGAAGAATGACTTCAGATGGTGTGCAACAATAAACTTGAGTAGGTAGCTTTCTTGTATTTATTTATGTATTTTCTGTAAAGAACATAGTATCTATATTCTTCTTTCTATTGTAAGGTGCTGATTACTGGTTTGGTTTGATATCATTTTGTATCTGATAATTGCCGTTCTTTTGAGTGTAGTTTTAGACCAGTTGTGATAATATACTACTAATTCTTGGTTGGATTTTAGAGTATTAATCCTCAAATTTGGACTTTTGCTTTATTTTGAATAAGCAGAAACAATATAGAATCTTGTACCTCACCATACATTAAGTTGTTTGTGATTTGAATTTAGCGGCTGGTAATGTATAGTTTGAAAATTAGAAGTTGTCACTTGTCAGCAGGCTATTCTTTTTTCTTGAATTGCATCTTCTACAATGTGTACATGTTACTTGCTGCCTTTTTATATGGTACCTCCTTTCAAAAGCAATCGAGGGTTAGAATTTTGCAAATTTTGAAGCTCGGAGTAATAAAAATAAAATAAGACTTGGTGGTGTAAATGGGTAAGATTATGAAAGTGGCTTTCTTCTGTTGAATCAGCTCTCTTATTTACATATGCAATTCATTCCATCCCTTCATTGTATTGTACAAAGATTGATTTTAGAAAATTTCCCAACTTTTCCCTTAACTAACCAACTATGGTGGGAACTTCTCTTTTTGGTTTTTAATGCATTGATGAACATAGCGGTACGAAGATGAGGCATATCAAAACAAACCAAAATAATAGAAACCGACCCTCAGAATAACATTCTAATCTACTTAAAGTTCAAAGCCCAAATACGAAAGTCCCAAAATTACTTGAATGGACCTTTATCTCTTTCAATTGCAAATCTTTTTGTCCAAAAGCCAGTGATCATGCAAGTCTGGCTGTCTAAGAACTGAAGAATTCATCAACCATATCAAGGAAACAAGTGAAAATGGGGCAGGCAAAGAACGTTTTAAGACTTGAATACATCTCACCTTTAAGTTTACAGAACAAAAATATTACCTGCAACTTAAAATTAAAAAACATATTACAAGAATAGTTTGTTTTCTTCTTTTGTACTAAGAGATTGGTACAATTACAGGCAGAAAACTAATCCACGATGTCCAATCCGCCCTTGAAATCTAGAGGCTTGAAATACAACAGGTAATACCACAGAATTAAAAGGCCTGTAGTATCACTGAAAATTCCCATAGAAAGAAAAACTTTCTTCTATCGTGAACCAAAATTTCAAGCCAATAATTTACAGTGGCCCGACATTTCAGTGTCATTCACTAGGCAGCTCAGCCCTGAAAATCTATCCTTCGACCCGTATTAAATGACAGGGTCTGCCTAGAAGCCGTGCAAAATTAGGACTTCCAATGATGGTTAGACCTAGTCATTCAGCTTCTGCAGTTTTTCATTCCTCACTTGGCCCGGTTCAACATACCTGAAATATCATCAGAAGCAGGTCTCCTGCCCAGCAGAAATGGCAAAGAAAGCAAAATGATGGGAGGCACTTATGCAAGTGTAATTATCGAAAAAGTTCTGGGAAAGACCACATTATGAACCTAGCAAAAATGTCAGACTCCAGAAATTCAATATGAGCAGCCCGTCCAATCAGAGTATTTAAATTCCTACCTTGAGAAGTGGTATCAAAGTTAATGTCAAAGCGCATGAAGACTCTATGCTCAGATGGAGTGTGTATCTGGTCCAAGCAATTATTTAACATCTCCAAGAAGGCGGCACGCTTTTTTGAATTGTCCCAAAGAGATGCTTGGGCCATTTCGATTCTAGCTGAATGATACGGAACATACCCATCCTGAGGCATTGGCTCACATATTAGAATCATCTATGAAAAAATTATGAACTCAAGGAAAATGAGCAGGGCAATGTTTCAGTACGAATGTGCTATCTCAATCATCAATAAGATGACCCAACAAGTTTCAATTAATATTAAAAACAAACATCCAAATCAAATCACCTAACTTTCCCCCAATTAGACGCTTAACACTGGAAGGCACACCTGATGTCAATTAGGTCAGCCCTCTTTGTTTTTATTCACTTCATAGAATACTGAGCTAATAAAACAGGATAAAACAATCAATATCCTAAAACCAAACTAGAGTTTCCATAGCAACCCAGCCCTCATCATAACAAGTCATTGATCCAGAAATTTTATTTCACACAAAAAGATTTTTTTTTCTGGAATAGAGGTCAAAATGAGATAGAATGGAATCTGAAGTTTAAGCAATATGAGTTTCTACACTTAATAATTCAAATAGACGGCAAATCAAATGAAGAATAATTAAGATAGTTATCCAATTTAAACTTTCTCTTCAATTATCACATACAAAGAATTTGATAATGCAAGCATTGTCATTTTCTGAGACAACTACAGCACATATCAGGAATGCTATTGTGTCTAAGCCTGCTGTAGAAGAGCAATACCTGGGGTGAAGATAACAGGATTATATTTCTGAAGAACTCCAGCGTCCTATGCTGAAATAAGGATAAAGGGAAAAAAAAGTTAAACTACTAGAACTAAGTGTAAAACGATAGCATTTAACTACTATTCTTCAAAATGCACAATTTCATGGTGAGCACAACTTTTCTCACTCATCCAGCAGACTTGCATATTATAAAATTTCATCTGGAAGATAAACAAGATCTCTGAAACCATAGTCCTTTTTAATACCTTACAAAGATTATAGAAGAAAGTATTCTGGAGATCTGGATCATCTGAGAAAGTAAGTTGATGAATGCATTGTGTGCCCCTGAGCTTTTTTAAGAGCCATAACCCAGAGTTAAATAAAGAGTTTGAGCTATACAGATACCCCAAGTGCGGACCAGATATAGAAACATATGTATACAAGAATCTCAGGTATGGTTCCATCATGCTCTCTGCAGTAACATAGGCACATATTAAGCACAGAATAAAAATTTATTACAAAATATGACCTCAAAATGTACATATACCTGTTAATGCACTTCTTATAATAACATTTCCAATAGAATGCCCAACAAAGCTAAGCTTGATATCTCTTAAATTTCCACTTCTTGAGACTTTATCCATTTTCTTTTTAAGGAAAGAAATCACTTCCTCCGCCAGCCTTAGTCCCATTTCTCTGAAGTCTCCATCTGTTTTATCCTCATTTACCTCTGACATAAGAAACTCTATCTTGGGATCAATTAAAAGCCATTGATTTCGAACAAGCCGTAAATCCAAATGGTGTCCCTATTCATATTTGAATTGTTACGAGTATTATTAATCACTGATTTGAAACTACAATGCAATTCTAAACATGCAATAAAAGGACTGCATAAAAATTTCAGACACCAAGCTTATTACAAATACAGAAAAAGTCACTGTTTGCTTATAACAAGAAAGGAAGTATAATGCAGTACCACACATTTATTTCCCACAATATTTTGTATATCTAACTTGTTTCACAGATAAAACTTACTATAATAAATTGCTCGAACAATAATTTTACAAATAAGGAAATACAAATAAATTATATGTAATATATGCAAACAAAGGTGTGACAGTCATTACAATAAATAAACATGAATAATTTTTACATAAGAAACCTGAATTCTGTATCTAATAAAAGACATTGAATTCCAAATGATGTAGGCTAGAAAAAAATCAACTTTTAAAAATTGGAGAGAAGGAAAAGAAAGGAATAAAAATAAGATGAACTTAAGGAACAACAAACTTTTATAAATACAGTAAAAGAGGGAAATAAGAGAAAGACCTAATAGCCCTCTGTCTATCCCTAACATATGTGAACACAGCCCAATGATGTCCAACATCAACTCCAAAGTTTTTAAAAGAAAAAAGAGAGGTATCCATATCTTAACCAACTTGAATGTAACTTTGGACCTTTAGACTGCATATAAGGAAATTGTTACTCTAAAAGTAGTAGTAATTTAACATGCAAACTGCATTAAGAGCTAAATTTTAATTTAAGATGTTATTTTATTCTCATTACAGTTTTTCTGTCACTTCGACAAACTATTGCCAGGCTCTTCTAGTTGTTTTGAAAGCCAATTAATGCAGCTCATTAATGGAGTTTATGCTTGTTAGCCAAAACTCCTTTGCTATAACTTATAGCAGAAAAAACCAATATCATACGGACACAATTCACAAATTATGGGTTCTTATGTGGCATTACAATGAAAAAGTGTATACGAACATATATACACATGCCTTGGTGTATGCGCGTGTTTATGTAGCTCTAGAGTTCACATTTCAAACTGTAAATGTATAATGTCACTGATTTTAGAGTAGGAAATTCCTATAGCAACAAACTATGGCAGCAATTGATAGCTGACAATTCAAAATATGTTTAATTACTGGACAACTTCCCAGTCAATCCTACAGTCCAGTATCTACCACTTATCACATATTCTTTCCACAAGGGTTGTTTTACATGCATCTACCAGTTTCTTTTTCTATCTTTTATAAGACGCAAAAAAATATTATTAAAGAAAGATTAACTGACAAAGAGGCGGAGCAGAAGTCCACAGAATAAGAGACAAAAACAAGACTTGGGATTTAAAAGAATTAAGAAACACTTGCCCAATCCCTTTGAATAAGGAAAAAAGAAATGCCCTCAAATTGCTTTGCAACCAAAGCCCACAAAGAAGCAAGAGTATGAACTCTCTCCAGTAGAAGCTCCACTCCTAAGGACAAAAGCTTTCTCATCTCAACCAAATGCACAGAGATATTCAATAAACAAAAATCTGAAGTCTTTGCAATGTCCCAAACCAAATCAACCTCACTAAATCTTGAACCATAGTTTTAAAGCTATAGGAAAATGAATAAGCAAATTATTAAAGTTTTTTGCTTCCTTTCTATGCATAGCCCACCATTTGGGAAAGATAAATCCCAGGTCACCAAAATTATATTAGATCTATTGCATTGATATTTCCATGAGCTACCAGCCAAGAAAGATTTTGGACATTGTAAAGAAAAATCAGCGGCAGAAATTTATCTTATGAAGCAATTAACAGTCTCTTTCATATCATCTCTTTCAACAATTAACCAATTAAAGAATGATTTACAGGAAAAACATGCAGATGGTTCCACTTCCAAACTGTAAAATAAACGTAATGAATATACACTCTACTATATTATTAGCTTAAAAGGATACATATTTATATATACTTGTAGTGTTCTAAACTAGGTAGGTGATCATCTAAATTAGGATAGTAGTGATCCCTATAATCAGGATTTTAATGTGATCCCTATCATTTAAAGTCATGTACATCTGTAACACTCCCCCTCAAGCTGGAGTATAGATATCAATCATACCCAGCTTTACAAAGATAATCAACTCGAATCCCAGTTAGAGCCTTTGTGAGATATCTCCCAATTGTTCTCCAGTCTTCACATACCCAGTGGAAATCAGACCTTTTGTAGTTTCTCACGGACGATGGCAATCGATCTCAAGTGTTTTGTTTCGTTCATGGAACACTGGATTAGATGCAATATGAAGAGCCGCTTGGTTATCACACCATAATTTCGCTGGTACTGATTTTCAAGGCCTATTTCAGTCAGGAACTGATATATCCACATTATTTCACAAACAGCTTGTGCCATAGCCCTATATTCCGACTCTGCACTTGATCGTGACACAACATTCTGCTTCTTGCTCTTCCATGATATTAAATTTCCTCCGACAAAGACACAATAGCCTGATGTGGATCTTCTATCTACCTTGGAACCTGCCCAATCTGCATCTGAGAAACATTCAATGTGAGAGTGACTATGATTGGTATATAATATACCGCGTCCAGGGGCTCTTTTCAAATAACAAGATCTGCTCCAAAGCGCCCAATGATGAACTGTTGGGGAGGCCATAAACTGACTGACAACACTTACTGAATATGCAATATCTGGACGAGTCACCGTAAGATAGTTCAACTTCCCAACAATCTTCTATATTTCTCAGGATCTCCAATAGCAACCATCCTTCGTAAGTTGCACATTAGGAACCATCGAACACTACATGGTTTTGCCCCCAATTTCTTGTCTCAGTTATAAGTCGAGCACATATTTCCTCTAGAGAGGTATATACTCTTTTGCTCCTTGTAACTTCAACCCCTAGAAATACTCAATATCCCTAAGTCTTTTGTGGGAACTGGGTATGGAGAAAAGACTTAAGAATGTATGCCCCACACTGTCACTCCCAGTAATAACAATATCATCCACATACACAACGAAGAAGAATGCACTACAGACTTTCAACATCGATTCAGCATCCATCCTTCACACCTGACTAAACTTTCCAAACCAAGCACGAACTGTTTTAAACCATACGAATTTGCGAAGATAACATACTTTCCCATACTCCCCCTGAGCACAAACCCAGAAGGTTGCTCCATATAACCTCTTCCTGAAGACGCCGTGAAGGAAAGCATTCTTGATGTCTAGCTGATGCAAAGGCCAATCATAGTAGCTGCCATAGAGATAAACAGCCGAATAGAGGTAAACTTAGCCACAGGGGAAAAAGTATCAGAAATCAACTCCGTATTCTGACATATCCTTTAGCAACCAGACGAGCTTTTAGTCGAGCAACTGACCCATCTGGATTAACTTTAACAAACCCCATGCTCCAAGTCCTGTTTCCCTGAAGTAAATCTACCAATTTCCAAGTACCATTGTCATCTAAGGCATTCATTTCCCTATCATTGCATTACGCCAACCAGGATGAGGGCTTCATGAACAGTTTTAGGATAGTAATAGAATCAAGGGAAGCAATAAAGGAACATGATGAGTGTGACAAATGATCATAAGAAACACAAGAAGAAACAGGATAAGTACACTGTCTTACGTTCCTTTTCGCAATCAATAGGAAGATCATCACTTGAACTGGATCGGATGCGAAAAGTTGGTGCCGGACATGAAACGGAGGAGGTGGACGACGGAAGTAACTTTGACAGGAGCAGAGTAGGAGCAGGAGCAGAGCAGGACAGATCAGGATCAGAGATAGGAGCCGATGTAGGAATCGTAGGAATAGTGACGGATCAAAGACAGATGCTGGTTCAGATATTGGTGCAGGGAAGTGAAGGTATAAACTAACAAATCATCATTATCATCACCTTCGGACGATCTGCAGGAGAAAAGGGAAAGTATGTGTGTCTTCTAGAAGGTAACATCACTGGAAACAGATACTTATTAAGACTTGGACAATACACCGATATCCTTTCTGAGTCGAGAATAACCAAGAAAGACACATTTAATGACTTGGGATCTAATTTGTGACTGATGGTCGAACATCCCGAACAAAGCAAGTGCTACCAAATACCCTAGGTTCAAGAGGAAATAATCTTTGTTAGGAAAAAGAATACTGTACGGTCTCACCATGAAGGACGAAACGGCATGCGGTTAATCAAAAACAGGGTGGAAACGGCATCAGCCCAAATGGTTTAGGAACATTCATCTGGAATAATAAGGCTCTTGCAGTTTCAAGAAGATGTCTGTTTTTCCGTTCGCTATTCCGTTTTGAGATGGAGTATCAACACATGAAGTTTGATGAAGAATGCCTTCTGGGTCTGAATTTTGAAAAGAACTGACAATATTCTTTGGCATTATCACTGCGCAATGTAAATAGAAACATTGAATTGAGTTTTAATCTCAGTACAAAAAGCACAGAATAAGAGAACAAATCAGAACGATTTTTCATTAAAATAACCAAGTCATACGAGAGTAATCGTCCACAAATGTAACAAAATATCTAAAACCAGTTTTAGACAGAACTGACAAGGACCCCAAACATCAGAGTGAACTAACTCAAAGGGAGAATTAGCTCTTTTATTGACTCTAGGACTAAAACTGACACGATGATGTTTAGCAAACTGACATACTCACACTCTAATGTAGACACTTTTTAAACTGAGGACACAATCTCTTCAATGAAGGAAGAGATGGATGGCCCAAACGACAATGTGCTTGAAACGGGGATGCAACATAAACAAGCGACAGGTGTAGATTTTGGTCTGTCGAGATGTATAAACCTCCAGATTCATGTCCTTTACCAATAATCTTCTTCTCGTAAGATCCTAACAAGCAATAATCCGGAAAAAATAAAACACAACAGTTAGAGCACGAGTAAGTTGGCTAACAGAAATCAAATTGAAAGAAAAATCTGGTAAATGTAAGACATTTGACAAGGGAAGCTGTGGAATAGGGGTAACTGTGCCAGACCCAAGAACGTAGATGGTGAC